CGAGATTAAAAGGTTTGGAACCATGAAACTTGAGTTTGTATATTTCTTCAATTCTTCCATAATACTCGACCTCATCAACGCCGTTCGTAAAAACTCCGAAACTTGTGGTTCTTCGATTGGGCCGACTCTGCTCGTAGCTTGTTGTACGAAAGCGATATCCATTCACGTCATAACCGAAAAATGACCTGACCCTATAGGCAAAGCCATCGGCAACCTATCTCAACTCGACATGCATAGACGCATCCCACTGGCCCTGCAAGCTCAAGCAGGATACATCGTTATATTATTCGCACGTACGAGTAACTTGGAATGTCAAACTAAGTACGAGCTAAATTGGACGGTACCTTCTGTTTGAACCAAGAAATGAAATCGGGCATTCCATTTCCCGCACCCTGTCTAAGAAGGGTTTCTACCTGCTGTGGGGTAGGATCCCTTGATTGACGCCAGAATTCATGAAGAAATTCCCTGTACCAACGAGAAACAAGGGGGTTAGATGTAGAATAGTGACGGTGTATTTAACAAGTTCGTTGAGAACTTACTGCATGTACGGCGCCACTTCGTCAAGGTTGGTCAACACGTATAGCATGATATGGCACCACTCTTCATGATTTCGGCAGCACCTCCCCGCTGTTCTCCAAATACACGAACTACCAGGGAGAGTGTGTATCCGGAGAACAACAAGGAGATGATGCCAAAACTCTATCTCGGATTAGAGCAGACCATGGAAACTAACCCCACCTACGCATCCACGGGCTGTCCAAAAAACGTGGACAATTCGAAACAGATACAGTTTTAGATATGGAAATATCTGCATATTTCCAACCGTATCTCTTTTGAATGGGAGATGCCTAACTGGGTTACGTGATCTACGACCATGATACGGAAAGAGGTGTTATACCTAGGGTGGTGGTGGAGTCAGGCTAGCGGGGCCATGGCAGGTCGGTGCAGTGGCGAGGCGACGCGGTGTAGGCAGACCCACGGCGGCGAGGAAGGCGATCGGGGTCACCGAGGTACTCCGGCTCCGCTCTGACAGGCTCTTCTCTACAAAAAAAGAAACATAAAACTATCAATACAAAATTTTGGCAGCACCTCCCCTGCATGGTGAGGTTTTCAAAACCTGCAAGAAAATCAACGGCACGATGGCCGACATGCACATATATATGAACGACACGATGGCTGACATGCACATATATATGAACGGCATGATGGCTGACATGCACAAGATTATATCCAACCACATATATATAACAATGTCACAACCACTCCTACGACTACCACCACTTCTACTCTACCACTACTACTACCGCAACTACAAGTAATACTACGACGATGGTAGGGCATACCTAGTGGGCGTCGTAGGGTGGCAGTGGTGAAGGGGCCAGGGGGCCGGTGGACAAGGCAACGGCTGGGGAAGCGCCGGGGACGTGGCAACGGCGGCCGGGGCGCCTCCTCCTCCTTCTTCCTCCTTTCTTCTTCTTCTTCCTCCTCTTCCTCCTCCTCCTCCTTCCTCCTTCCTCCTTCCTCCTCCTCTTCCTTCTTCTTCCTCCTTCCTCCTCTCCTCCTCTCCTCCTCCTCCTCTCTTTATCCTCCTCCTCTGGCGGCGCGGCGTGGGCGCGGGCGGCGGCGGCGCTGGCGCGGGCGCTGGCAGAGGGCGCGGGCGGCGACGGCGGCGCTGCCGCGGGCGCAGGCGTGCGTGTGTGCATGAGTGCGGTGTGTGTGGGCCGGCTGGGCCGAGAGGTTAAATCCCCCCTTTGCTGAGTGCCCCTGATCTGGCACTCGGCAAAGTTTTTTTAATTTTTTTTAATTCTTTGCCTAGTGCCACCTGGCCTGGCACTCGGCAAAGAGGGTTTTGTAAAAAAAAAATCTTTGGTGAGTGCCCTCGGACTGGCGCTCGGCAAAGAGGGGTTTTTAAAAAAAATTTAAAATTCTTTGCCGAGTGCCATACGTCCTGGCACTCAGCAAAGCGGTGTGACACTCGGCAAATCATATTTTTTTACTTTTGACCTCCAAACTTTTTCTACAGTTCTCATACAATACCTGGTACTCTATGTTGTAATGTGGCACATTTCTCGGACTTTTTCCATATTTGTTTAATTTATTTCATTTAATTGAATTTTCTTGGATAATTCAAATTATAACGGCTAGTCATTCGAATAATAAAAAAATGATATTCATGTTATTTAGTATAATGTGAGGCCATATCTAGGACCAGACCACCAATTTCGAACATCTTGTTCACGATACATGACCACGAACTCGCGGTCGAGTTGTTTTTAAATTCTATAAAAAGCAAACAAAGTCCAAAAATCATGAAACTTGTCAAGATGTTATGATATCATATTTGGAGGCTGTGATAAAAATGTGAGAAGGTTTCGCATAAGTTGTCACGTACGATGCTTACCACCTTGTCGGCCTCCTCACGAAATCATGAAACTTCTTCGGAGATTCTTCGGTTTGCAAGCATCGTACATGACAACTTGCGCGAAACCTTCTCAAATTTTTATCATAGCCTCCACATATGATATCATGACATCTTGACAAGTTTCATGATTTTCGGACTTCGTTTGCTTTTTATAAAATTTAAAAACAACTCAACCACGAGTTCGTGGTCATGTTTCGTGAACAAGATGTTCAAAATTAGTGGTCTGGTCCTGGATACGGCCTCACATTATACTAAAAAACATAAATATCATTTTTCCATTCATTTTTTCATTATTCGAATGACTAGCAGTTATAATTTGAATTATCCAAGAAAATTCAATTAAATGAAATAAATTAAAGAAATATAGAAAAAATCCGAGAAATGTGCCACATTGGAACATGGAGCACCAGGTATTATATGAGGACTGCAGAAAAAGTTTGGAGGTCAAAAGTGAAAAAAATATGGTTTGCCGAGTGTCATAAAATGACACTTGGCAAATAACCGCTTTGCCGAGTGTCAAAAAATAACACTCGGCAAATCAGCACTTTGCCGAGTGTCAGAAGAAGACACTCGGCAAAAGGTTAACGGCGGCTGTCGGCCGTTAACTGTGGCGGCCCTTTGCCGAGTGTCAGGAGAATAACACTCGGCAAAGCCAGTTTTGTCGAGTGTTATTGTTTGCCGAGTGCTCGGCACTCGGCAAACCACCTCTTTGCCGAGTGTCACTTGTTTGCCGAGCGCTTTATCTCTGGCACTCGGTAAACAACCTCTTTGCCGAGTGCCCGATAAAAAGCACTCGGCAAAGTGGGCGACACTCGGCAAAGTGGGCGACACTTGGCAAAGAAGCCGTCTCTGGTAGTGAGCAAAGGAGAGATTAGCTAAGAAGATTTTGACGACACCAAGAACTAAGAATTGTATTCCAAGTTCGAGCAACTTTACCAGAATCATTAATGTTTTGAAGATTGATGGTAGATTCTCTTTCTGACTAAGAAAGTGAAAAGGCTCCGTTAGAAAGTGAACATATGAAGAAAGAGGTCTAATAAGTATGGACTAAAAAGAAAAAAAATGGCCTAGTGATTGAAGCTACCTAGGCATGGTCTGGAGAATCTGTCAAAATCTTGAAATTAGTTTGGCAAGTTACTTGAGTAAGATTAGCAGGTATGCAAAGTAAAATGGAATCCTTATCAAGAAGACGGAACTGCACGATGAAACTACACGAGAAAGTGAAGAAGAATTCAAAGACGGAGTATCCCTATCTCCTAGTCGACGTCTTCCGAATCTTGGGGACGAGATTCATCTTAAGGGGATAGAATTGTAACACCCTAAAATTTATACTTTTAAAAATAGGATTAAAATAATTTATTTATGAATTTTTGTGCACATGAAATATAGGAAAAAGAATATTTTTTATTTTATTAAAATTCATCATAAGGAATAGCAACATGGATGTGCATACATGCCAGTGCATTTGATTTATTGCAATGAGTGGTTGAATCCAAAATTCAAAATGCTTTTGAAAATGAATTTGAAAATGGCTTTGAAATAAAAGAAAAGAAAAGAAAAGGAGAATTGGAAAATAATAGAGTTTTCAAAAGTTTGTAAAAGTTCAGTTTTGGAAACCTCCCAAAAGTTCTCATCTTGAAAAGATATTTGAATTTGATTTGGATCATATTTGAATTTGGATTTGAAAATAGAATTCAGAAAAAAGAAAAGAAATAAAAAGAAAAAACACTCCCTCTCTCCTTTCTGGCCCAGCCGGCCCGCTCCAACCTTCTCCCGCGCGGCTATTGTAGCGAAATATTTATATCTTTTTAGATAAACATTTGTGCATAATGAGAATCGTCCGGGCTCCTAAAAGTTTCTGGCTCCGCCACTGGTTTGGGTGGCTTGTGTAGTTCATTCGTCCATTTCCAGAAGATCATTTGCTCTTTTCTTCTGCATTTGAGTTTCCTCATTCATTTGAATTTCTAAACATTAAATTAGTGATCATGCAGTTTAGTGCTGTTGTCATGCAGTTCTTTTAATATGCCAGCAATTCTCATTATTTCCTCAAATTGGCTAAAATTCAACAAGTAACTCATTTAAATCAATTGTGGTAGCCCTGTTAGATTTCCGGTGTGGGACTATGTGCCTACTATTTTTTTTTTCTTGGGGCATGTTGAACAGCTTTGTAGCTTCCTTCTAAATGAATGCACTACCTACAGGCTTGACCGAGGAAAAGTAGTGTTCTGTTTCTCTTGGCTTGGCAGTGCTTCACCATTTGCCAGGTCTTGAATTAGTGCTCCTCTGTCAGACAACAAATCAAGCTCTCTAACCAAACACAATGATGACAAAAGCCTGTAAGAAGAGGAGGAGAGTTTGTGTAAGCAGTGAATTGGGATACTTGAGTACAATCTTTGATTGACGAAAGCAGACTCTCTGAAAAGGATGGTGTGACATCAATTCCTACATGTGAGCACCAATCGTCTTATGAACTGAAGGCTGAAAGTATGAATATAGGAAGATAAGGTGGTGCACAAAAATCTTAAGGAAGCTCATCGATCACAAAGGTGGCTGTCTTTTCAAAGAACCTGTTGATCCAATGCTATATGGGATTCCTGATTACTTTGACGTTATCCACAGCCCAATGGATTTGGGTACTGTTAATAATAAACTCACAAAAAAGCAGTATGTAAGCATCGAGGAGTTTGCAGCAGATGTGAGGCTAACATTTTCAAATGCTATGAAGTATAATCCTCCAGACAATGACATCCATACTATCGCTAAAGAATTGAATGGAATATTTGATTCAAAATGGGAATCAGTGAAAAAGAAATTTAGAGGCCCAAACCCATTTCAAGAGCAGAAGACAATATTCACAAAAGCCTTTAAGAAGAGGAGGGGAGTTTGTGTAAGCAGTGAATTGGGAGACTCGAGTACAGTCTTTGAGGTTGAGGAAAGCAGACTCACTATAAAGGATGGTGTGACATCAATTCCTACATGTGAGCACCAATCGTCTTATGAACTCAAGGCTGAAAGTATGAATACTAGGAAGATAAGGCGATGCACAAAGATCTTAAGGGAGCTCATGGATCACAAAAGTGGTTGGATTTTCAATCAACCTGTTGATCCAGTGCTATATGGGCTTCCTGATTACTTTGATGTTATCGGCAACCCGATGGATTTAGGTACTGTTAAGAAGAAACTCACTAACAAGCAATATGTAAGCACTGATGAGTTTGCGGCAGATGTGAGGCTAACATTTTCAAATGTCATAAAGTATAATCCTCCAGGGAATGATATCCATGCTATCGCTCAACAACTGAATGGAATATTTTATTCAAAATGGGAATCAGTGAAAAAGAAATTTAGAGGCCCAAGCCCGGTTCAAGAGCAGAAGACAATATTCACAAAAACATGTAAGAAGAGGAGGGGAGTTTGTGTAAGTAGTGAATTGGGAGACTCGAGTACAGTCTTTGAGGCTGAGGAAAGCAGAATCTCTAAAAAGGATGGTGTGACACCAATTTCTACATGTGAGCACCAATCGTCTTATGAACTCAAGGCTGAAAGTATGAATACTAGGAAGATAAGCCTGTGTGGAGATATCATAAGGAAGCTCATCGATTACAAAGGTGGCTGACTTTTCAAAGATCCTGTTGATCCAGTGCAATTTGGGATTCCTGACTACTTTGATGTTGTCCGCAACCCAATGGATTTGGGTACTGTTAAGAATAAGAAATTTTTTACAATAATTGGGGAAAAATTCGATGTCTGACATCGACCGAGAGCGGCCAATCCGACGGCAACAAAGGTAGGAGGCAACGGGAGGCAATGGGACGGAGGCAACGGGAGGCGATTGCTGTGTCTATGATCGGTGGGCCATATGCGCAAAAATCGCCTTCCATTGCCTCCGCAAATGTGGGGAATAGGACTGGGCGGTAATTCCATTCTCGTAGTTTTTTTTTTGATAAAGGGTAAAACGGTAACTCTAAATGTAAAAATAATGTTTTGAGTAATATAGTTAGGATGGATAATACAATTAGTATAGTTAGTTAAATGAATATGTCGTTTACTTCTTGTTCCACCGCCGCCGTCCTGCGAGCCGCTGCCGCCGCCGATGGGAGGAGGCCGGGCGCAGGGCAACGGGCCACCCCTACCTCTTGTTCCTCCTCGCCGTCATCCGCTCGGGCGCCACCCTCGGCGTTCGTCCATGGTGGAGCAAGAGGAGGCAGGTGAGGATGGGGGCCATGAAACCTAGATCCAAGCGCGCCATGAGGAGGAGGAGCCGGCGCCGACACCGACGCTTAGTGTCAAGCGTGTTTGCACACGACCAGGCAGGTTCGACACCGCCAGCGGTGCTATTCTGCGATTCCACCGCCGCCCGTCCCCGTGAGCCGCCGCCGCCGACGCGATGGGAGGAGGCCGCGCGCGGCAGGCAACGGGCCACCCCTACCTCTTGTTCCTCCTCGCCGTCATCCGCTCGGGCGTCGCCCTCCTCCTCGCCGTACTCCGCTCGGGCGCCGCCCTCAGCGTTCGTCCATGGTGGAGCAAGAGGAGGCAGGTGAGGATGGGGGCCATGAAACCTAGATCCAAGCGCGCCATGAGGAGGAGGAGGCGCCGGCGCCGACACCGACGCTAGTGCTGGCGTGCTGCACACGACCAGGGGCAGGTTCGACACCGCCGTGGTGCTATCTGCGATGGGCAGGTTCGGCGTCACGCGCCTCGCGCTGGCGCCGCCGGCGCTGCTGGCCATCGTGCGCACCGCCGAGGAAGCGGACGCGAGCGCTACCGCCCACGTGGCCACGCTCTTAGCGGTGAACTGCGGCGGCGCGCCCCTTGCGGCTGACCTCATTGCGCGGTTCTCGCGCACTTTACCCGGCGTAGGTGTTACCTAGGTTGGTTTCTCGCTGCTGCAAGTTCATGTCTTTTGATTCTTAGTTCAGAGAATATCGTAACTACTAGAGTAGTTCATACAAATCACTTGCAATTGTGTGTTACAATGCTTGTTTCCAATTGGCAAAAGGGGTATGGTCTTACAGGATTGATGGTTTTCGTATACTAGGTTAGAAACTGTCAAGTATGCTCTCTTTAGTTAGTGAATTATTTATTGACAAATCTCATTTGCAGATATGAGCTTGAATTAAATGTTCTTGGACTTAGGTTTTTAGTTTGACACAGCCATCATGTGTAATTTTGAGTTTTGTGAAAAGAGGTATGAAGAGCAACTGATACAACTATAGTTCTGTCAGCCGGTTCAACTTTGACTTTCATAGTTTGCAGAATTTCTGGTGGCTTGGTTGGAGCATTTGTAACATTGGGCAGGATTGACATGTCATTCAACACATTAGTGCGAGAGAGGAACGCTATGCTTCCTACAATTTCATCAAAGGTAATTTATATAGTGAAAAAACACTTGCTTTGATTTGGAATTTGCTGCTCATACTTTGTGCTCAACATTCAATGTAGATATTCAGCTCAGACCGAATGTAAATTTATGCCATTCCATATTGACCCCTTGGGTTGTCTGATCTTTTTCCTAATGGCTAAAATTAGTTTCAAGAATGTGAAGGGTTGGATCACTCTGGAACTTTTATCTTATAGACTTCAGTCCTGAAATAATAATACAATTTCCATCATTATGACAGCAGGGACTTTTGCTATAACTGACTAGTTAGTAATGACTAATTTGATTGAGAATACCACAACACAAACACCTTTAACTTTTACTTGAATGTTGCCCAAGTGCTGTTTTTGTTGCTGCCATGCTGGAAGATAGAATGGAACTACAGCTAACATGTAAAACTTGGTTACAAATTTTGATCAGTTTAAAAAAGAAACAACTTTTGTTGCAAGAATGATGAAGCCAAATGTAGTTTGCTACTATGGGCTATGGCATTCCATTTTATTCTGGTTTGGTCATTGGGGAGTGGGGATACTTGGGACCAGTTCAAAGCATTATGAAGTTTTGAACTGTCCAATTGCTTGGCTATATCTGCTCTTTTGTGCTTGAAGGGAAAGCGTCGGTGGTCCTGCTGGTGAAGAGAATGTACAGGATGCTAGGCAGCAAAATGGACATCAAAAACAAGTTGTTGTGAGGAGGTTTCACTTTGCTTTTCAGCTTGACTTGGCCTTGATCATCAAACTAGCCGCAGTGGTGTTTCTCTTTAGCCAGGAAGGCTCGAAAACAAAGGTTGTTTCTTCTCATACTGTTTGCCTCATTGATTAACTTGTTAGTACTTTGCTCAAATCATCTCCAATATACTTAATGCTATTTCACAGTTTACTCTTCATTACTTGTATAGCCTATATATGGTGCTGCTAGATAACCTCGTGGTTCTGTATCCTGTAGATATCAAACCGGAGCTATTACACCTTTTGTAAGATGGCTTCAGCGGGCGGGAGGTGCAGCTGCTCGTCCACCACAGGCCCCTGCTCGGGTTGAGAACCGTGCTCCTCTACCTGCCCAGAATGATGGCAATGAGCAGCCCAATGGTAGCTTCCATATACTGCTCTTTGTATTGTTTGTGCTCTATGCATGATTGTTCATCATATTGCAACACCAATTTCACTTTTTAGTATATTTTAGTCCCACCATAATATTGTAACTTTCCTTTTCACTACCATCTGCTCTTCAATGGGAGGTTCATATAAACAGCAGTAGCCCTTGCATGAAATAAAATTGTAAATGGCCACGATTAGCACCAACGAATGAGACATGTTACAGCTGTCTAATGTCTCATGTTGATTCCTGTTTTGATGGAATGGTGTTTCATGCTTTAACAGTCAAGTTGTTTGTTGCTTTTGATTTGACTACAAGTACCAATAATGATTCATATTTCTCTTTTTCTAAGGAAGTGTTAATGCACAGTTTGCTAGTATCTAGTGACTAAGCGCTTCTGCTGTTGTGCAAAATCTTGCAGGGCCTGCAAACCCTGACCAAGCTGCTGAGAACCATGAACAAGATGCTGCAGCTGGTAACGAGAATCCGCAAGAGGCAGAGGTAGAAGGAAATCAGCGCAATTGGCTTGGAGGTGTCTTGAAAGAGGTCCAGCTGGTTGTTGTAGGGTTTGTTGCATCGCTTCTTCCTGGTTTTCAGCACAATGACTAGGCCTCATCTCGTCACTGTGGAATAAGCTATCAGCAGTGATATAATTATGGTGATATAGGGGAAATAATTATATGAAGCAGCTGAAAGATTTCTGTTTACGCAAATGAATGCATATTTGTTGTTAATGTTGTTTTGTTTCATGTTCAAAGACTTATTGAACAAATCCTGTGACTGAATGCATACTTGCAGCTCACATGTAAAGAGTAGCCTGACACATCATCAAGTGAACAAGTATTATTTTCGTTGCAGAAATATGGGATGCTTGCACCTGAACATAGTATCAGTCCCTTCTGCAAAATGTCTGAAATGAAGGATGTGAAAGTTTTTTCAAGGCTGAAACCTTGATTTATAATGTGTGACAGTAGAACAGAAAATTTATGTCAGAGTGAAATACAATAATTATTATTTTTCTCGGTTGATTTTGTCGATCTTGGTCAGTTGCTCTCGCCGATGAATCAACTCAATAAGTGTTTTATACTGTTTAAAGGCTTTGTTGTTGTTGTTGGTTCGTACTATGATTAGCCTACCCCAACTTGTTTTATACTGTTTAAAGGCTTTGTTTGTTGTTGTTGGTTCATTACTATGATCTAGCATTTTGCTTGGCTTGAATCCAAGTAACATTGAAGTTGAAGATAGCTGTGTTGCCTTGACAGGAAGGAAGTTAAAATACAAGAAGAGCATGTGATTATTTGCACCTACTTCTTGCACCACCGGACTTGATACTCAGAGATTTTTTCTGTACTCGCAAAGCTAGAGGCAGACCGCAAGCATAACCGTCGCTGACAGCCTAATGCCGATGTACTCGCAGTGTCTATTCTATTTGTTTTACAATCACAAGTGTACTGGCTGCAAAGCTCAGACCGCAAGCATAACCGTTGCGGATAGCCTAATGTTGATATACTTGCAGTGTCTACTCAGTTTGTTTTACAATCACAAGTTCCTGAGCGGTTGATGTACTTGCAACGGCAAGAATAACCGTCGCTGGTGGTAGCCCAATGGTGGTGTACTCGCAGTGTCTATCCTGTTTGCCTACTTGCTACAGCAATCGCAAGAATATAAAACATTTGTCAGCAGGCAGAGGAGCCTTGCACTGTTCGGGCTTTTAAGGTCGTGAGTTTGAATCTATGCCTATGAGGCTGTTATTATCATTAAACTCTATTCCTCCACCGACGGAAATACATCTGATCATATATCATTACATAGCAAGTACCTGTTCGCTTGCTCGTAAACGATCGTAAATTTCCAGCCGGGAACAGTGTTTTTCTCTCACACCAAACCAGCCAGCAGTAAATAATCCACGATTGTTTACGGCCTCCCGACGTAAAAATCTATATAGTATTCCTCATTTAAAGAAGAATCAAAATCAGTACAACAATGCTCTATTGGCTAAAATCTATATATAGCATTCCTCATTAAAAAAAATTAAATGAGTTCAGTACAACAATGCGATTCTAGATCCTGAACTACGCCTTTGAGGCGAATAACTTACACCATGATCAGAAACTACCGATGAAATCTTTTTGGCTCTACAGCATCTAATGTTCCTCGACACCCTACGTAGCCTCATCTTTAGGCCGTCAAATAAAAACTGGGAAAATTTAAGCAACCAAAATTTATCCTCAAACTGCCTTCTTGTAGTATATGCGTAATGCGTCTTTCCGACCTGTTTCTATGGATTCTGGTACTCACAACTCGTCATGAGATTCAGGTTCTGAATCGCTAGTGTTGGCTGATGCAGACTGATCCTCTTAGATTCCTGAGACGTTTCGGTGTATTCACCGTCGTTGGGTGCAGATTCCGAAGAGGTGGTTTTCTCCTTGCTAGCATGTTCTTCCTCCTTTGCTGTTTTCTTCTCAACCTTGGGTTTTGGTTTTGGAATCCTATTGACACTTGAGACCTGCACAATGAAAGAGCACACATTATACTTACTACCATGAGTAGTATGCATAACTTTTTATAGGGCGCTCTACCAAATTACTAACCTTATCTTGCAAGTCCAGAACTTTCTCATAAACTTCTTCAGATGTGAAAACTTGTGGGCTATAGATAGGGGTACTGCAAAAATTTCAACGGGAGTTAGACACCTTTTACAAGACAATAAAAAAAAGCAAGCTGACTCGAAAGGTATACTTTTTCTGCAGGTTTTCCTTCTCCTCCAACCAAGCTTTCACTTTCTCTGCTTCACTTACAACCTAGAACCAGAGCATTACACGACCAACAAAATGAGCATTACACATAATCACAAAGTCAACTTCATTAAGCTCACAGGTTTACCTCATCTACTCTCTTTTTGGGGAGCCATGGTTTGTTTGTGTCCCAGTTCTTGACAATCTGAAAAACCAAACGTGCACTGAATTAGAACAGAATAACACATCAACCATGCATTACATCGGTCGAACAGTTATACTGAGCAGTTCACAACATGGATAAAATGGATGTAAAACAACGGTTTTGTCCCCTGCTGTGGAATTCAGTGTATAGTAAATTTAGCCTTTTTCCTGCTTCCACGAAATTATTGATCAATCCTTTTTCGTGCAAGAAGATACCTGGTGGTCTGACACGTCCTCCTCATCACTCCAGTCCTGACACCCATTCAAGCATCTACGGATCTCATGGCTCCAGCAGTTGCAGCACCACGCCAATAGGTCGTCGATGCCACCGACAGGATTTAGGCACGGAGAGACATTGTTCTTGCAGTTGCGGCACAGATACTTATTGCATCGGCCGTCGTCAGGGCAGAATTCATGATTGCACACCTGAAATATAATGGATCATATAAAAGAGCCAATGCATCTATCTCTCGTGGAACCAGACCAAACACTCATTAGCACTTGAAAAAAAATTGCATAGAAATATGCATGCATGAGCTATGGACTCGATTGCATAGAAACAAACAGGCATAGGTGTTTCCAATTCAACTACAAACAGATCTCTAAAAATTTGTCGTTCCACAGACATACCTCGTTGGGCGACCTGGGCCTTTTGATACGAAGATCACATCCTCCGTTCACGCAAGCATTGCGACGACCGCGATTCCAGTTCCAGCAGTTGCAGCAGCTGAAGCCGTCTCTCCCTCTCGGGGAGAGGCATGGAGAGACTCCGTTCACGCAGTTCACGCAGTCAGGGGCCAAGCACCTTTCGGCGCTCTTCTTCAGAGCCGTGGATTTTCCCGTCTTCATCTTCTTCTCAGCCGATGATTTTCCTGGATTCATCTCTAGACGGCGTGGATGTGGCTGGCGACGCGGTGAAGGTGGAGATCAGCGGCGGAGGCGCGTCGAGCTCCGGCTGGTGGCGGGCTAGGGCTAGGGCTAAGGCTACGGCTCCGAGCGGCCCCTTTAGGGTTCTAAGGTGGCGGCGCGGTGCTCTGGGCATACTGTTTATAGGGGCGGGGGCGGGGAACCTCGGGGCCACGATCGAGGGATCGGGCGGCGGTGGCTAATCCCGGTTGATGCGGCGCGGTGGGGCACGTTCGATGGAGGGAAGGGGTAGTGGGTTTTGGCCCAAAGGCATATCGCCGGGAGTTGGGGAGAAGTTGCCGCTCTGTGTCCGTCTCCAGGGAAGGAGGCGACATGGTGCGTGGAGCCGCTGACACGCGGGCCCTGTAGGTCAGCGACAGGGGCGCGGGCAAAGGGCGCTGGGCCACGTCGCCTGTTGTTGCGGGGCTGGCCTGTTGTTGCTGAGGGCTGCGGTTGGTTTGAGTGGCCGGGTAGTGGGCTATGGCCCAGAACTAAAATAGAGGGGAGTGCGAGAGCGGTGGAGAAGGAAGTCAGCTACATGCCTGGTTTAGTCCCACCTCGCTTGCATATCAATCAAAAGCACAGCTTAAAAACGCAGGCAAACTAGCCAGTTCGAACACTTGTAATACACTACCTATGCTCTTGAACGTCTGTTACCTGTGCTAATTGGGCCAGCGCGGCCTGGTTGGGCTCCCTTCGAGGTCGAGCTTGACCTAGCCGTTGCTGGCCCTTAGCACCAATTTTTTTTCAAACCATCCATTTTGCAATTGAAGTCCCTCTTGCAAACCTTTTATTTTGTAATTGAATTTTTTTTTGTATCTTCCAGTATTGATTTGTAATATAAAGCTGGACCTTAAAATAAAGAAACTCGGATTCACACATAAAAAACACGTGGATAGAGTGATCGGTTCAACCTATAAGTGCACTCGGATGACACATAAGAGTGATCGGTTCACTTCCTATCATGTTAGGTTAACGGTCTATCAGTCCACTGATCAAACGAGCCGCGAGAATGTAGGTTCAGTACTTGTCGTCCTACGAGCACTAGTCTAGCTACTCAGAGGAGACATGAGAGTGATCGGTTGACTTTGTTATCGTGCTATTAGCCTGTGAGTCCACTCGGACGACACGTGATAGTGATGGATTAGTTTGTATCATGTTAAGGCTAGTGGTTCACTCTGTCGAGACATGAGAGTGATTGATTCACTTCCATTCACTTTAGGCCTTTTACTCCACTTAGTCAGTATGTGCAAACTACAATGGTTTGCAATTGAAGTCCCTCTTGAAAACCTTTTTTTTCAAACCATTTATTTTGTAATTGAATTTTTTTTGTATCTTCCAGTATTGATTTGTAATATAAAGCCAGACCTTAAAATAAAGAAACTCGGATTCACACATAAAAACACGTGGATAGAGTGATCGGTTCAACCTATAAATGCACTCGGATGACACATAAGAGTGATCGGTTCACTTCCTATCATGTTAGGTTAACGGTCTATCAGTCCACTGATCAAACGAGCCGCGAGAATGTAGGTTCAAGACTTGTCGCCCCTCTGAGCACTAGTCTAGCTACTCAGAGGAGACATGAGAGTGATCGGTTGACTTTGTTATCGTGCTATTAGCCTGTTAGTCCACACGGACGACACGTGATAGTGACGGATTAGTTTGTATCATGTTAAGGCTAGTGGTTCACTCTGTCAAGACATGAGAGTGATTGATTGACTTCCATTCACTTTAGGCCTTTTACTCCGCTCAGTCAGTACGTCCAAAC